GCTGCGGAATAGAGGAGCACTAGCAGTCAGCTGCTGCTTGGAGCTGGAGAAGAAAGGACGGCATGCCTGGCTGGAAGAGCAGCAGGACCACTGACGGCTAAGTGGGGGCAGGGACCAAGGGAGCAATGAAGGAGCTCCTAGCTCGCTGCTAGGACTGAGTAGGGACTGAGCCCAGTTGGAGGGCCACGGGAAGATAGTGTCTCCACGGAGGAAGCCCTGGAGATATGCCCCATACCAGGAAGGGCTACTTAAAGACTGAGCCCAGGGAGGGCTAGAGAGACACCACCAGAGGGGTACACAGGTAGGCCCTGGTGGACTGTATGCCCTGGAAGGGATCTGTTCTGGCTCGGCCGGAGGGCTGAGTCCGTGAGAAAACCACCCGAGAACCACTGAAGGGGGTCACCAGAACTGAAAGAACGCAGACACACCCAACCAGAGGGGGCGCTCACGAGAGGTGGTTGCAGACCCCGTCACAGACAGATAGATAGATTAGATGGGGGATATGGAGATTAGGGATGGATGGACGGATGGATGGATGGAGGCGTGTGTGTGGGGATATGCAGGCAGACAGAGCAGGGCGTAGAGAGGCCAACAGACGGAAAGTCAGTGGCTCTGGAGACAGACAGATCAATAAATAGGGCTTGGATCAGAGAGATGAGAAAGTTGGGCTGTGGATGGCTGCAGAAGGACAGACAGACAGATGCTGAGTTTGCTCACACTGCCCTGTCCCCCCGCGGGTGTGAGCGAGCGAGGCGGGGGTGCATGCCCTCCCCAGGAGGTCTGTGCATGGGGCAGTGCCCCCTGGGGGGGCTGTACCGACAGGGCAGGTGCACCGACAGATCCCACCCCCCTTCCCAGCCTGGGGATAGGATGGGAGGTGGTCCAGCCACCCCTCCCACCCGGTAGCCCTTTCTAGACCTCCATGAGGAGCCGCCCCATGAGCAGCAGCAGCCAGGTGGTCATGCCTGTCCTTGCGGCCCAGACAGTCGCAGCGTTGCCAAGCATGTTCCTCCCCTTCTCGTCTGGCACAAACTCGATATCGGGGATGTGTCTGTGGATCCAGGCCTCGTAGGAGGTGAGGCGGATGTAGACCCCAGGGCGGTTCTTGATGGCACAGCCTTCGCCCCAGCTGATGATCCCGGCCAACAGCCACTCCTTGGACACCTTGCAGACCAGCGGGCCGCCGGAGTCCCCCTGTGGGGGCAGAGACAGGGGGTGTCGGAAGGAGAGCGGAGAGCGGCGCTGGGGATCGGGGCCTTGTGTGCGTGTGAGCAGCCCTGGCTCATGCTGGAGTGAATCAGGCTAAATGGAACACCCGGCTAGACAGGCTGGTCCAGGGTAGCAGAGAAGGGGCAGGATACCAGGCTAGATGGGCCCATGGGTCTGACCCAGGGTGAGAGGCAGGATACTGGGCTAGATGGGCCCATGGACCAGCAGGGAGGGGGCGGGATACCAGGCTAGATGGGTTCATGGGTCTGAACCAGGGAGGGTGTCAGGACTCCGCCTTCCCTGGCCAGGAGGCACTCACCTTGCATGTATCCTTCATGCCCTCAGCATACCCGGCACACATCATGTCGTTCTGGATGGACTTGGGCGGGAAGTTCTCGCCCACCACCGTGTTGTAGAGATCCCTGCAGGTCTCCTGGTCTATAATGGGCACTTGAAGCTTCTGGAGGGTCTGTGGAGCTGGCAGGTCCTCTGGGAAGGAGAGCCAGAGACAATGGTGAGGGGCCCAGATGGCTCTGAAGCAGAGCCATCGATTCTAAAGGGAGTGGAGGATGGGGGGAGATCAGAGCATCTCCCCTCTCATCCAGAGCAGTCGTCCATGTCGGGTGCTATTACACAGTCCCCGTGGGAACATCTGTGTACCGGTGATGGGCCTTGTTCAGTCAAGGGGAATCTCTCTGGACTCAACGGTGGACATTCATTGTCTGAATTGTTGTTTAACAACAAAAACATAAGTTTTTATCACCCAAGATTTGTTTAACCTTTTTTTTGGTGGGGAGGGAGGTCAGTTTCAAATGATCAGGCTCTGTTTTGGGAGGTTTGCTTTTCATTGGTTGTTGGGTTTTGTTGATTGACTATCGTTTCTTTGTTTGGGTTTCATTGATTAGGTTTGCAGTTTGGCTTATCAGTTTTCCTTTCTCAGGTAGTGGGTTTCATTTGCTGGGTTTCTGGTTTCATTGATCTGTTTTTGTGTTTTGCTTGTTGAGTGCTTTACTGGGGTTTGGGTTTCATGTCTCACATTTCATTTAAGGGATTTTGTTTCTCGGGCTTTGGGTTGTTTCATGTATTATTTATTGGGTATTGTTTATCGGGTTTTATGTTGCCATGATCGGGTATTATTTGTCAGGTTTCGTATTTCTGTTATCAGTTATTGTTTATTGGTTTCCATGATTGGTATTGGTTATCGGGTTTCATGTTGCATTTATTGGCTATTGCTCATTGGGTTTCATATTTCCACTATTGGATACTGTTTATTGGTTTCCATTATTGGGTATTATTCATCAGGTTTCATGTTGCTATTATTGGATATTGTTCATTGGGTTTTTTGTTTCCATTATCGATATCATTTATCGGGTTTCATGTTGCATTTATCGGGTATTATTCATTGGGTTTCACATTTCCGTTATTGGGTATTGTTTATCGGTTTCTATTATCGGGTATTATTCATCAGGTTTCATGTTGCCATTATTGGGTATTGTTTACTGGGTTTCACTTTTCTATTATCGGCATTGTTTCTGGGTTTCATGTTACATTTATCGAATCTTGTATATCAGGTTTCATGTTTCTGTTGTCAGTAGACTTGGAAGGATTAGATTTTTATCAGTAAATGTTGGTAGACATCAGTCTCACCGAACACACACACAAACGGACGAGAAAATATTTCCATCGATGGTAACAGAAATTTACATATATCCTTTGTATATTTTGACGTGATTTCGACAATTTGTGTTAGCAGTTATAAAGCTTTCACTCTTTGAAATCAGTGTCTGCAGTCATTCAATAATTACTGTCTGACGCAGCCTGTTTTCGGATGGCCCCCCATAATTCCCCACAATTGAACATTTTAATTGATAAAAATAAAAAGATGCTTAAAACTCATAATTTTGGGCAACTGTGAAAATTTGCATGGATAAAAGTAAGAAAAAAAAGCTTAAAAATAAATATCGGTATCTGGTTGAAATGATAAAAAAATAAAAATCAAATTCTACCAAGGCTAGTTATCAGATCTTTTTTATCGGGTTCTGTTTTTCCGTTACCAGTTTTCCTGTTTCATTTATTGGGTACCGTTTATTGGGTTTGGTGTTTTCTTGATCAGGTTTCATTTATTGGGCTTGCATTTTCATTTCTTTCTTCATTGTGTTTCATTTATTTTATTTCATTTGTCATTTATCTCGTTTCCTTTGTAGCGTATTGTGGTTTGTTTATCTTATTTCATTTACTGTTTATTGTATTTCACTTATTGTTGTTTGTTTTTCATTTATCGCATGCCACTTATCGTTGATTGGGTTTTGCTTATTGGGTTTCCTTCTATCACCTTCCATTTTTATCATGTTTTGTTTCTTATGTTTCATTGATTGTTGATGGTGTTTTACTGATCAGGTAGTGTTTGTTGGGTTTCCTTTGTCATGTTTTTTTTTTACCACTGATCATGTTTTGTTTATTGGTTTTATTTGTTGTATTCCTTTTATCATTTCTCAGGTTTGTTTATCAGTTTCATTTATCATGTTCTGTTTATCATTTATTGCGTTTGGTTTATCAATTGTGCTCCTTTCATCATTTATTGGGTTTTGTTTTTAGGTTGGTCATTTATTGGGTTGCGTTGTTAGGTTTTCTTTATCAATTGCATTCATCGGTTTCTGTGTTTTGTTTCTCGGGATCCGATTTTGTTTACCGGTTCCCCGGTTTCCCCCTTTTCGAATCCCCCCACAAAGTTCTTCTTCGTAGACCATTTCCCATCATGAATCGTCTCGGGAAAAGAAATCTCAAATCCTGAACCTACTAAATAACCATCCCTTCCTCTGCATCCTTCACCCCAACTGCTGACTCCCACCTGCCCCTCGAGCCCACCGCTTCCCTAGTCTCTCTGCCCCAGTGCCATGATCCCAAAGATAGCTCCAAAGACACCTACCACCTTCCTGGATGTTGCCCCAGCCAGTCACCCAGCATTTCATGCCTGCTGGGAACTGAACAGAGGCCGTTGGGAGGCAGATGGGGAGGATATAATTGGTGAATTGGATGGGTCTCTCCAGCTCCACCAAGGCTATGTCACCGCTGGAGGATTCCCCTGAGTATATCGGGTGGCGGATGATGCGTCTCACGCCCAAGGACAGCTTGTGAGGTTGACTGTTGGCCAACTTGTTGACTCCCAGCAGCACCGCGTAGTTGGAGGTGTCCATACTCCTGAGAATGGAGAGAGGAGTCAGAAGAGGGGGTTGGGTGGGGGGGCTGCGGGCTGGGATTGGGGGGCACCGGCAGCGCTGGGGGTCAGAGGAGCCCAGGACTGGGACAGCAGGGGGGCTGCGGGTCGGGATCAAGGGACGTTGACACTCACCGTTGGAAGCAATGAGCTGCCGTCACCACCCACTGGTTGGAGATGAGGGATCCCCCACACAGGTGTTTGTTGTACCAGAGCAGACTTGCCTGCCAGGGCCATTCGCCCTCCATCGAATCCTCACCCCCCACGCTCCGGTACTGAGCTCTGGGGCGGCCACATACTGGGGAGAAGGAGGCGGGGGATGCTCAGACAGGCTGGGGGGGATTGCTGGAGCTAGCAGAAAACAGCTGGGTACATCTGGGGCTCATCCCCACACCCCTGCCCTAGGCAGATCTTGAACCAGCCCCACGTTGGGCCCTGGCTGGATCCGTCTCCCACAGCAGAACCAGACAGAGCCCCGATCCAATTGGCTGCTGGGAGCCAGTTGTCTGGGTAACCCCAGCTGTGTGTTACTAATGGGGAGGGAGGGACCAGAAACTCACCTCTATTGGACCGGATCATGTGGGTGCTGGGAACTGAAAGAGATCAGAGAGAAGGTAAGAGATCAGACCCGTGGGCCCACCGAGCCCAGCGTCCTTGCCCCCTCCCTGCCAACTGGGATCAGATCACGGGCAAAATTTCTCCCCAGCCTTCCTGAGTTTGACACTGGCTTCTCCTCTGAGGCATGAAGTTTGTAGCGCAATCTATATGTGTGGTCCTCGGCCAGGGGTTCTCAAACTTTTATTCCTGGACCCCCCTTTGAAAATATATCAGGTTGTGATGGTCCCCCCCCACCCCCGACTTTTGGTACTGGACATAGTTTTCACGGTATCTGGTGCAGATCCCTGCAGAGCTAGGTAACTATACCAGGCCACCCTTCAGAGCTGGGCTCCCGGCCAGCAGCTGCCACTCTCCGGCCACCCAGCTCTGAAGGCGAGGGAAAAGGACGAGCAAGGACCGAAAAAGGAGTTCATGTCCGTGAAAACCTGGACGTATGGAAACCGGCTACAATTTTGGTGATCTTGCAACCCCCCCCACAGTAGCCTTGCGACCCCCTTTTGGGACAGGACCCCCAGTTTGAGAAACACTGTCTCTAAGCGTGTAGGGAATTTCTCTCCTTTCTCCAGATATTCCGCACTTTGGCTTGAAATCCTGGGAAAACTCGTGACCCCGTCGCGTCCTGCAGCAGGGCGATCTGCAGGTTAACTGAATTCTACATTAGGCTTTATTGCCATTGGTCAGTCCCACCCACATTCACATCGCTTGGCACTGTGTTTTTAGCTACCCAGGACCTACCTCGTGCCACATGTGAAATCAGCACTCATCTCCCGCGGAGGGTGGTACAATAAATCAGTTTTCACGGCAGCAGATAGATCAGGGCCCCGTTGTGCCAGGCGCTGCACAGACCCCCACGACGGAGATCACTGCACAGCCCGCTGACTGAGATCAGAGCCTCTATTGTGCCCAGCACTGTACAGACCCTGTGACCAAGATCAGGGCTCCCCTTGTCCCGGCCACCACCCAGACACAGAGAGAGAGAGAGGCAGTCCCCGGCCCAAAGAATTTCTGGTCTGAATAACAAAGAGAGACAAATGGCGGGGGAGGGAGGGGGGAAACTGAGGCACAGAGTGGCCTAAATCATACTGGCTCTCTGATCAGAAGCCATTGAGAGCTGAAAGAACACCTGCCTTCTTAAGGCTGGGCATGACATAACCACCGCCGGCTAATGTGGGTGTGAGTCAAACTCCCCCATGGGGCGGGGGGGGACCCACAGCTGCCTCCTGCAGGGACCGTAGCACTTTCCAGCAGGGGTGACAGGAGCTGCAGACAGGATACTGGACTAGATGGGCCCATGGGGCTTATCCAGGGGGTGGCAGGATACAAGGCTAGATGGATCCATTAGTTTCATCTACTACAGATGCTCTCATGGGGACAGGTCCAGGATTTCCCAATGTGAATCTAAGTTGAACTGGAGGTTTCCGGGCCCCCATCTCTGTGGTCTGAACTTCCCCTGGAGCAAATTTGACAGGCCAGGGGTCCCAGGGCAGCTGCAACTGGCCGAACCCCTGTCTACCCACTCCCCTGTCCTCAGGCCTCTGATGAGGAGGAGGGGGGAGGCAGATTGTAAGGCCAAGGGGGTGGGGGGGGAGGGGGTTCAGGCTGGCCTCTGTGACTGACCCCATTCGGGGCCCCTTGGCTTTCCCAGCCCTACAAGCGCCTTCTCCCTGCGTGGAGCTGACGCCCAGGCCCCGAGGAGGAGAGGTGACAGGCATACACCCACACGCAAGGGCAGATGATGTTGAGTCACTGTCAGGGCTGGGAATAGAACCCAGGAGTCCTGGCTCTCAAGCCCCCTGCTCTGACCTCTCAACCCCACTCCCCTGCCAGAGCCAGGGTGAGAACCCAGGAGTCCTGGCTCCCAACCCCCACGCTCTAACCCACTAGACCCCACTCTCCTGCCTTCCCTTCCCCGAGTCCTGGCTCTCACCTCTGGAGAGCGATTCCATCTCGTTGCAGCCTTTCCAGTAGAAATCCAACGTGCTGGCAGCCGTCCCTGCCAGCCCGGCCAGGACGAGGAGCCGCAGCCCCCCCCAGCCCATCACCCATCCCTTCTGGGCAGCTCCTCGCCCCTCCCCCATACCACTCCTGAAGGGTACAAGCACAGCCTCTCCTGCGAGGCAGCCAACGAACAGCTGCCGGGTGCCCTCTGGGGCTCGGGACTCCTATATACCCAGGCGAGCAGGGCGGGGAAAAAAGTGGCCCAACTCGTTCTAGGTGAGGATCCTAAGCTTTGCTCCAACTTGTGTGTGGTGGAACCCAGGAGTCCTGGCTCCTAGCACCACCCCCACGCTGCTGTAACCCACTAGCCACACTCCCCTCCCACAGCCGGGATAGAAACCAGGAGTCCTGGCTCCCAGCCCCCCCACCCTAACCATTAGACTGCACTCCCCTCTCAGAGATGGGGATGGAACCCAGGTGTCTGGGATCTCAGCCCCACCTGCTCTAACCCACTAGACCCCACTCCCCTCCCACAGCCGGGATAGAAACCAGGAGCCCTGGCTCCCAGCCCCCCCCCCCCGCCCTAACCATTAGACTGCACTCCCCTTGCAGAAATGGGGATAAACCCCAGGAGTCCTGGCTCCCAGCCCCCCCTGCTCTAACCCACTAGACCCCACTCCCCTCCCATTCTGCTGGGCACTGCGCAGACCCTGCCCAAGACTGGGGCCCCTGATGGACACCCGTGAATGTTCAGTGCTGGGATTTTATTACAGTAATCGGGTTAGTATAGTAATCGGTGTCTGGGTGGTAGGTGACCACCCATCTGTCTCCTATCGATCACCTATCATTGCTCCCATGAAACCCCACTACCCCCCAATTTCTAACTCCTTTGGTAGCTCCGGATTTACACTGGGCTCACGGGGGTCAGACTCCGGCCTTGCCGGCCAAGCCCCTAAAGCCGCCGGGAGACTAGGCTAGATGGGCCTGTGGGTCTGAGCCAGGGTGAAAACCCCCCAGTCTCTGCATTTTATTATTTTTCACCAGATTCTGTAACTTTCTCCCTGGCGGTTTTGAAGCTAAGATCTCCGGTTCATTGCTTGTGACCTGGTTTGTAAAACTCTGAAGATAACCCATGCTAGAGACGTTTCCGGTATTATTAATGAGCTGGTATTGACCTATAATTATGGTGATTACTATTATTTAACTCAAACGGCCAAAATGCACTTGGGAGGAACACATTTTGAGTTAAATTTCGGCAGCTCGGGCCTTCGTGTCTTACTCTCTGTATTGTGGTACCACCTCCAGTGCCCGGAGATGGATTGCTACCCCGGACAAAACCCTTTCATTCTGAAACCTCTCTTGCTCTTCCCAGGAGACCTCCAACTGCCATGGGAGCAGAGGCGAGTGGGTTGGAAATGGTACGGTCCCATTCGATCTTCAAGGCTCAGTTTTCTCACTGCTCGGGCAGTGCCTAGACCGGTCCCAGCTCTTACTGTTTACTCCACCCACACGCCCACCCACGCCAGGCATGCCACCCTGGCAGTTAGCCCAGTTCCTCCTCCCGCCCACGCTGGTCTATGTGCCTGCTTCTGTGAGATGCCCTGGCTGCTTGAGGAGGGTAACTCAAGTTCTCCCCAGTGAGAACAGCTGCTCGTGACCCACCACCTCCCATCTGCCTGCCAATCTCCTAATATAATCTAATTTAATCTGCCTGCCCTAATCTCTGTGCCCGTCACTCTGATAAACTGACCTTTCTCTCCTAAATCTGATATTTCCTAGTCTTGTCCCTCCTAACTTTCTAATCCAAAACCTCTCTCCTAATCTCATCTAATTTTATCTAATCTAATCTAATAATACCCCCGGATACCTAATCTATTCTAATTTGAGCCTCTCCTAATCTAATCTAATCTAATCTAATCTAATCCAATACAATATGACTCCCCTGATAACCTAATCTCTTCTAATATGAGCCTTTCCTAATCTAATCTCACCAAGTCTAATCTAATCTGACATTCTGAAAATCTAATCAAATATGATGCTTTCTTAATGTATTCTTAAGGTGAGTTTCAGAAAATCTGATGTAAACCTCTGAAAATCAAATCTGAAACTCATCTGACTATCGACTAATCTAATATCTCTCTCTCCAACTATTTCAGTGCTTCAGTCACCCAGCTTCTGTCCTGTTAGATTTGCTACCCAAATTGTCCATCTACTTCTCTTTTAATTGAGTTGAATCTAATTTCTAACTAAAATAATCTTCCACTTGCTACTTCGCTCTTAAACTAAACTCTCCTCAATTCTGTCTTCCCTGATCTAATTTCTACCTCCATGATCTAATTTTATCTATTCTGAAAGACACCAATTTAATCTCATCTCCTCTAATCTAAAATATCCCTGTTCCAATCCAATCCAATTTAATCTGTTACTCCATAATCTAAGATAACCTAATTATCTCTTCTACGAACATCTGGGCACTTCATATATTAATCTAACTGCTCTATTAATTTAGAGCCTATTTTTAAAAGTAATTATTGTAATCGCCTTGATTTGGACTTTAGATCCACTGGCTGTAAGGATTTATGCCCAGCTCTCTGAGGGGAGTGGGGGGTCTAGTGGTTAGAGCAGGGGGGCTGGGTTCTGTCCCTGGCTCTGCGGGGGCAGTGGGGGCTAGTGGGCTAGAGCTGTGGGGCTGGGAGCCAGGACTCCTGGGTTCTGTCCCTGACTCTGGGAGGGGAGTGGGGGCTAGTGGGCTAGAGCTGTGGGGCTGGGAGCCAGGACTCCTGGGTTCTTTCCCAGGCAGGGCAGGGATAGGAATACAGTAGTTAATACAGATGGGTCTGGGAGACCAGACTCCTGCACTCCAGTCCACACCCTATCATTCTCTTACCACTGCCCATGGCAAGGCAGCCTTCTCTCAGTGCCTTAGTTTACCCATGTGGCCAGCGCCGCCCTCCTCTCCTGGGATGTGGCGGTGGCCGGATGCGCGCCCATCTCTGCAACACCTGTCGGGTGTCAGCGACACACTTCAAACCAAAACAGTCACACTTCCAGCTCAGCTTGGTCCAACCGTATTGGGAATTGTTGGAGAAGCGACTCGATTCTGTGGCTTTTAATTTCTTTTATGTTTGCAAGGGAGCGTAGCGTTTAAAACCACACGGGCAGGCCCGGCAGGCTTCTACTTCAGACACGGGGCGTCAGGAAAAGCCCTGGCTCTGGGCAGGGATGGGGGGGTGGGGTCTAGCTGAGGCCCTGCGGTGGGACTGGGGTCCCCTGGCTCCTGCTGCAATAAACAGTGGGAGCGGGTAAAGCCTTCGTGGCTGCGGGCGGGATTGGGTGGGCAGACGGCATCACAAAGGGAATTTGAGCGACGTGAAGCATGTTTGCCTTTTGTAAACACAAGGTTTAAGACGTAAAGGTTTCAGAGGGGCAGCCCTGTGAGCCTGTATCAGCAAGTTTCAGAGGAACAGCCGTGTTAGTCTGTATTCGCAAAAAGAAAAGGAGTACTTGTGGCACCTTAGAGACTAACCAATTTATTTGAGCATGAGCTTTCGTGAGCTACAGCTCACTGATGAAGTGAGCTGTAGCTCACGAAAGCTCATGCTCAAATAAATTGGTTAGTCTCTAAGGTGCCACAAGTACTCCTTTTCTTTTTGTATCAGCAAGGACTCCTCGCTGGTTTTGCGACTACTTAAATCGAAGCTCGGGCTAGAAAGCGATTTGTCGCTTTTTAGAGCAGGAGTTGAAGTCTGGTTGGTTGGGTTTTTTTTTTTACCACGGCTTAAGCAAGAGCCGTTTTAGTCTTTTGGTGGGAACCCCCGTGGCTGAATTCCGTGTCTATCTATCAGACATGAGCCGACCTTCTTTTGTTAGTCGCGTGGGGGAATCTGTCCCTCTTGCGGGATTTGCGGGCTCTAAGGTTTGTGCGAGCGGGAGCAAGAGAAAAATGCAGGAAACAAGGCGGGGCGGGAGGGAGCGAGATTAGAACGATACTCCTGTGCAGGGCTCTAGGGTCTAGTGGGGGGCTGGGAGCCAGGACTCCTGGGTTCTATCCCTAGCTCTGGGACGGGAGTGGGGTCTAGTGGTTAGAGCAGAGGGAGCTGGGACCCAAGGATGCAAACTTTAATGGTGAAATGTGGCAGCTGACTAGAATCCAAGAGTCCCTGCCTCCCAGCTCCCCCCTCCCCACCCGGTAACCTCATTAACGCCTCAGACAAAGGGAAAGAGACACAATTTGTCTCTACGATGCTTCCACTTATTTATGGTGGCTGATTGTTTTATTACTGAGGTTTTTATGGCTGTGCCCTGGGCAGGCTCGCAGGTTTGGACAAACACACGTATAACTCCATAAATGCATTTTGATAGCCCTAATTGTGCGAGAAAGAAGCCATTTAAGGTTAGGGTTAGGCAGTTTCCACGGTATGCATCCGATGAAGTGAGCTGTAGCTCACGAAAGCTCATGCTCAAATAAATTGGTTTGTCTCTAAGGTGCCACAAGTCCTCCTTTTCTTCTTGGTGTGAACCCAGGAGTCCTAGCTAGAATTCAGATTGGAATGCAGAGGCGGCTGCCTCTTGGCGCCAGAGGAGCCCTCCCCATGCGGTGTTATGTGTGGCTGTTCCCCAGTTGCTCTGTGTGATGAAGGGGGACTGTTCTTAATGTTTCCTCTGAATAGTGTGGGGGTGCCTCAGTTTCCCCTATGCAGTTCTTAAGTATCTAGGTGGTGAGATAAGTGTGTATGATCATTGCAGAGCCCTAGAGGGCAGGTGTGTGCAGGGGTCTGGACACAGAGAATGGCTGACACCCTGTTTCCTGGCCACTGATGGCCTGGCCCTTCCCCCCCACAAGGTGAGAGATAAAGGGTTGGAGAACAAAGGAATCTGGTGACCTCCTGGCCCGGGAAAGGGACAAAGCCCAGAGGAGGTGGGGCTGGAGGGAGTTTCAGTTTGGGTCTGGCTGGAGACATGGAGTGAAGGGCAGACGGGGTTGTCTGGCTCACTGCCCCCCCAAAATGGACCCAGCTGAGGGGTCCTGTTCTCTGCACCTACAAGCTCTGTGTTAGACCATGTTCCTGTTGTCTAATAAACCTCTGTTTTCCTGGCTGGCTGAGAGTCCCGTCCGACTGCGGAGTTGGGGGGCAGGACCCTCTGGCTTCCCCAGGACCCCGCCAGGGCGGACTTGCTGTGGGAAGCGCCCGGAGGGGCAGAGGAGGCTGAATGCTCCGAGGTCAGACCCAGGAAGGTGGAAGCTGTGTGAGCTGTGTGTCCTGCAGACAGGCTGCTCCCAGAGGGGAGACTTCCCCAGAGTCCTGACTGGCTTCGTGGGGAGCAGTTCCAGAGCATCGCCCAGGGACGCCGTGACAACTGGTGGCAGCGGTGGGATGTACTGCACCCTGCGGATGGTGCTTCCTGCAGTAAGCGACTGGGGAGCAGTAAAACAAAGGGGGATTGACGAGGACCAGGTGTGCTGAAGGCTCAGAGAGGAGCGGTTTTGGGGGGAGGTTAACCCCTGGGAGTGTGTGACCAGCGAGAAGGACTGTGCAGTAATGGGGTCCCCCTGGGGACCGCGAGGAGCAGTCTCAGGGGCGGAGGAGCCTGCGGCTTGGCCCTGGGAGAGAGAAGGACTTTTGCAGTAACAGGGTTCCCCTGGGGATTGCAGCGAGCGGTCTCAGGGGCAGAGGAGTCTGCAGCTCGACCCTGGTAAAGAGGGGGTGACCTCAAGAAGGGCTGGCACACTCGGGGTTCTCCCTGGAAACCATGGGGAGCTGAGAGCACACAGGCCTGTGAGTCCACAACAACTTGGGAAGAGCGGAGCAATGGCCTGTCACCATCTCCTTCAGAAGGACATTGTAATCCTGTGCAGAAAGAGAGGTTGAGCATTGGAAAGTTCATCAAAGCACAGTTCATCGTGCAGCTGGAGGAGGATGACGGCTCTAAGGAGCAGATTCCTGACCCCAAAGGGGGCTATAGCAGGATCTGGGAGCAGCTGGAGCGGGAGCCAGGCATTGCCAAGACTCCTGTCCCCGACCAGATGAGGGTCTTCACGATCGGGTTCCCCATCAGGGGATCGGAGACCGATGGGATTGGAGCTGAGTCCGAGAGAGCAAGAGGACTGTGAGCCAGCGAGAGCCCAAGAAAGAGCTGCAGAAGCAGCAGCAGCATGAACTAGCGGTGGTGGGGTGGAGAGGCCTAGGGGACCTCCCAGGGGTGAGTGGGGATAGACCCCAGGGTGCCAGTCCGCAGGGAACCTCGAGACTAAATCGCTGCCCCTGGTTAAGGAGGGGGGGGTGTGGATGCCCACCTCACTGCCTTTGAGCTGGCTGGCGATTTGAACCAAGGGGACCCTGCGGAAAAGCCCCGGTGTCTAGCTCCCTTGCTGGGTCCCAAGGCCACAGACTCCGTCAGCCAGATGGGTGGGGAGGTAACAGGCTCCCACTCCTGGTCCCAACCTATATGTCTGTGTGGAGTTTCCTGGGGCCAGGCCCCTCGGACCCCAGTGGGAGCGGGAGGTGATGGTCAATGGGGAGACATTCCTGGGGTGGCGAGATCCTGGGACAGAGAGAACTGTTGTCAGGCCCCGGGTGGTGCAGCCTCAGAGGCTGAGGGGCTGGGTGAGCTGGGTGAGGGTCCCAGGGACGAAGCC